CAACCACTCTAACCACTCAGCCACAGCTGCCCCATAGAGAATATAGCAAAACACTAGCAAAAAAATAAAACTAGCAATAAGCCTAGCAAGTTAGCAGTTCCAAAATTCTATCTAAAAGCAGAAGAAGATAGCTAAAAGTTGCAATGGGCTGGCTCGAAGTAGCAAAAAACTAGCTGAAAGCTCAAGTGATCAGAGCCATAGCTAAAAGTATCAAAAGATTGTCACAAAGCTAAAGTAGCAAAATGCTAGCCATAAATTAAAATAGCACATTGACTAAAAGTTAAAAGTCATAGGCTAATGTAGCATATAGTAGACAAGAATAAAGGAAGTATACTGAAGCAGATTTCAGAGAACAATGGTTTTAAAGGAACTAAAAAATGTCAATGGATTTTGTGCAGGAAAAGTATTTGTTTAAAAAAAAATCATAGCACCACTTACCTGTAGGAACTGAACGGTTTAAAATAGGATTGGCTACAGTGTTTCCCATAGTTTACTTGCCTTGGCAGGGCGCTCATATCTTTTATGATTTATGTCGGGGGGGGGGGGGGGGACGACGACACGTCCATGTTGCGCACTGTTTGTACCAATAGTTTTCGAGTGGGGACGCAGTTGGAAACTGCTCAGTGTGAAGGAAACAGAGCACTACCTCCATATCATCGCTTTGTCATCGCTTTTTAGCTAGCGCATCTGTATTACGCACCACTAGCTTAGCGCTACATCACTGCCAGCAGATGTCGATGGTGTGTGTGTGTGTGGGGGGGGGGGGGGGTTTGGCAGGGTGCTTGGTTCTGTTGACAGGGCGGGGCACCCTGCCTGTAGTGGTAGGGGAAACACTGGGAAAAAAGAACACAATATGCAAAAATGGTTAGACTGAAAGAAAAAAATGGACAGCAAAAAAAGCAGCATCAGCATTTACAGAACAATTCTGTTTGAGATGCAAAGAATTCTTTAAACACCTCTTTTCTGGATGGTGTGATATATATATATGTCCATTGAAAGGTTGGATGGACACACTGGTGGTGTTTCTTTTCCGGGGCCATTTTCCAATTTACCTGTGTCCCTCATCTTCTCATATCTCTCGCAGCAGGAATCAAAGCAGGAGTGTCTCCGGGGTGAACACATGCTGCTTCTACTTCACCCTCGTTTCTTCCCTTAAACAACAAACACACCTCACAGTGCACCTTTAGAACAAAATCCACAACAAAGCCTTACCAACGTAGTCGTGATGGCACACAGGCTCACTTTACCTCTGCAAACATCCAGTGACTTGCACAGCATGGATTAGTCCCCTAAAGCATTCCCTTTGAAACTCTGCGAGCAGGGGTTTCTCTTTAGGTGATCACTGGTCTAAGTAGCTGTTACACACAGGATTAGCAGGTCATGTCATTCACAAAAAACATGAGCATCTTAAATTGTTTGGATAAAGAAGAGCAGACAGAGATTAGACGTAGGGGGAGAAGGTGAGAGGTTCTGACGGGAAGGAGCGGTGATGAAGTGAGGATTATTGAAAAGGGAGGGAAGATGGTGAGAAAAATGAGAAAGGGAGGTGTGACAGACGTGTAATGGGGAACAGATGATCAGAGAAAAGGAGGGAGATGTGAGGCAGAAAGCATGAACGGAGTAGAGCAGAGGGGATGCATCGGGATGTGTGAAGAGGAGTGTGAAGGGCAGAAGAGAGGAAGAAGCATTGAGGAGACGAAAGGAGAAGCAGACAGCCTAAATCTGTCAAATTTAGTGGGAATCAGATCTCTGCAGGGAGAAAGCTTGAAGGGAAAGTACAATAAGAATGTTATTGTTTTGTGTTTTATGCTATAATATCATTCCCTTTCTGTCTCTGAGTGTGAAAGTGTGTCATCCTGCAACCTTTATAATTGCACCGGCACAAGGTGTTTACAGTGAGGAAAGGTCGATGGGCCGATAACAGGCCTGGCTGTAGGGCTGAAAAGACATTTTCAAACTGAGCTGCTGGCTCATATAAAAGCATCTCACTTGTTTCCTTTGTGCCTTTCACCTCTCCTGTCTCGCATGCCTCATACTGCTCATACATCTTGGATCCCCGCTGCTATAAGCTTTATCTTCTCCCAACAACGGTTTGTCGTGCCGTTCCACTCTCACGATTCCCCCTCCTCCTTCACCTCTTCTGTTGCTTGTCTACCAGGGAACAGTGTGGTGGTGGCCAGCTTTTTCTTTAGTTTGACGCATCACAGCACATTTCTCTTGAGAACACCGACCCTTCCTGGGTGCTTCTTCATGCCGCACTCCTCCAACAGTGATTACTTTTTATTGTGCTTTTACTGTTGCCCCTTCTTTGCTTTCAAATATTTTTAGCCAGATTAACACAGAAAGTGTGCACTCAAACATTCACATACGCACTGAAACAATCAGTTTTTGCTACCTTCCCACAATCATTAAAAAAGAAACACTTGATGTGATTGGCCTAAAAACTCCAGTTTTGTCAAACCTGAAAAATTCTCCCAAACGCTTTAGGGCTGGGCATCATACATTTTGACATATTCCAGTCTGGCTATTTTTCTAATAGTGGAAACTTTGTTTGGTTCAGAATGCAACAAATGGTTCAATCGGAAAGGGAAGTGTTGGACCTAGGAGTTCAGGGGGAATTATTTTTGATAATTTCCTTATTTTCTACCATCCATTTGATCAAGCAGGGGTTGCATTTCCTCTTGCTTCCCATGTCCAGACAGATGGGCCCAAGATCCTGATACTTTTTTGTAATATTGCCAACTAGAGGTAGGGCAACCGACTCAGGACCCGATTTGATTCCCAGCCATTCCCACATGCCGTGGCATGTCTGAGCAAGACACCTCCCTAATTGCTCCCCAGGTGCTTACATACCTACCCACTGCTCCACCTGGGTGTATCCCAGGTGTGATGGGTTTAATGCAGAGAACTAAATTCGCCATTGTATAGAAACATACAATGTTGACAACACATAGCACTTTATTATGTATAACTGTTGTCAGAGAAGCATGGAGCTGCTTGAAGATGATTGTGTATCCGTTAACTTCAACAAGGATATCTAAAACCTTCTTTCTGAGCTCCTCAGACAGCTCTCACCTTTGTTTTCTCTGCTCTGTGTTCAGTGGCGTACACATACAGCAATCATACCAAAGTACACAGTGACATGCTTTTTTATCTAGAAACAGGCTCAAGGCACTTGAGCAAGGTGGCAACCCTTCTCATGACAACCCATATAGAGATGAATCCAGTGGTGTAGTCTACATTTTTGTAGAGGATATACCGCAGTAAAGTTAGATTTGCATTGGACGTTGGACACCGCTGAAGCCACGGAGCGCAAATGTCCAACCTAAAACCACATTTACCGCAGTTGGTCCGTACTGTGCTTAGAAACCAAAGTACACTAGTTAGTACAATGTATTCGTCAATTTATTTAGAGTTTTAAGCTTATTGAACATTTCCAAATTTCTCTGATGCTTATATTTGAATGAACAAACAAACAAACTTTGTACAACAGTTGGCTTTGTATTAAAAACATGTTATAGAATTTATAAAACAGTATCAAAGCAAAACATGTTTGAGTATTAAGTAGTAAGTACAGAAGTATTAATTATACAATAATTCACTGGATAAGCGAATGTAATAAACAAGCTCTGATGATGTATTGTTACGGAAGTGTTTAACTGCCATTTAACGTATCACTGACACATACCTAATTATATGTCATGAATCATTGGGCACTTTTAAGTGGGTATACTGAAAAGTTTTTCTAGTAGGTATACTCTGTATACCCGTGTATCTCATAAACTATACCAATGATTGAATCCAGTCCACCTCTGATGTGCCTTTGTGCCACAAACTGAGGTAGTAACAGAGCCACAATGATCATCAGGTGAAAAAATAAGCTAGCTTTACTGCCCTATAACATGGTGTAGTGATGCATGCAGTCTGTGTGACCACCTGGCCATGCGATTTTAAAACCTCAACAAGAGTAAAATTAAAAAAATTTTGTTGAGCAAGGATGGTGATTGATGATGATAATACACAAAACATTTGCATTTAGTTAAAAATAATTACTTACCTAGAAAAAGAAATGCTAACCTGAGTTTATTTGTCATGACACCAGTCATACGTGTAGGACTCCACATCAGTAAATCTGAGTTCTGCTTCATGCTTCTTTTGGTTCCGTAAAGATCGCTTCATTTCTGAAAACTCCCATGTGTGCAGGACATGGCCGGTCCAGTTAGTGGTTTGTGGATGATCAGAGACAGCGTTAAGATGGACTGGTCTTTGTAGCCATGTCTAGAACTGGGCTGTGAAAGTGGCTTCAATGGCTGAAAAGCTTTAATGCAGTTGTTGTGATACTAGTTAAGGTCAAACAGTTGGAAACATAATATAAAAATTAGGTCCATGCTATTTTAGCAACTTTTTGTAAAATAAAATCATAATAATAATTAATTGTCACAACTTTTTCATATTTACTTTATCAAAAACCAAAGGCATGTAAATATATATTCATCCGGGTCTTTCCATGCAGATATGAGTATTTTCTTCAAGTTCTTATTTTGCTCCTGTTAACAATGGAGGAATTTACCAGTACTCATACGGGCACTCATCCACAAACACAGATATCCACGCTAACTCGATCCTATTTTGACGTTTCACTCCCTGTTGGGAAGCTGTTTACACAATGTTCAGCTTTATTGAAGGAGGATTTAATTGAATCTGAGAGCCAATCTGTTAATAGAGCGATAGACCTCTTAGATCTCTTTCTCCTTTGGTTAGGTTGCACCCGGTAGTGTACACATTCAGTACCTTACTGCTTCATTTCATGCCTCATGGTTCAGTGCAGCCCTGCCCAATCATACATGCAACATTGAATAATATCCAACACTTGATATGCACCGGGTTCATTCACTTCTGATCTGGTTTTTCATGTTTGTGTCCCTCTTCCTTCTTGCCTTTTTTCCTGCCCCAAACTGTTTATTTAATGCTCTCCTTGTATTTCTCTTTTCTTTCTCCAGGATGGATATTACTCCCACCGACCGAAGGAGAAAAGTAAAGTCGACAGCAACATTGAGAACTCTGTGCCCAAAGACTTTGAAAATATAGACAATAGCAACTTTGGTGCACGTTCTCAGCCACACCGCCAGTCTATAGGAGCCACCAGCAACAAGCAGCGGGAGCGTCTGCAGGCCCACGCCCAGCAGCAGGCTTGGCACGACAACTCCCACAGACCGGGCCGCAGCTCCAACGAAGTTCTGTCTGTAGGCCACCAGTCACTGGCAGTTAGCAACAACACTTCCTATCCTGGTGGTCAGGGCATCCTGGGAGGTCAGCAGCAGCACCACCGGACCTCTCAAGCCCAGCCTGCCCAACCACAGCACCGACATCAGCACCCCCACAGGAAGCAGGCAACTCCAGCGACGCTGGAGGTGACGTACGATGAGCCTCCCAAATGTGAGATCAGTGGCAAGGAAGCCATATCAGCCCTGTCCAGGGCAAAGAGCAAAGAGTGCCGGCAGCAGATTGCTGAGGTGTACTGCAGACACAAGGAGGGCCAGTTAATGCCTGACGCAGTTACTCGTTACTGCCCCATTGAAGGTAAATACATCAGTCTATAGAAAATTATTCATATAGTCAAGAGCAGCATGGTGGGTTGAAGATTAGCATAATCACAAGAAGAAGTCCTTGAATCTTAGCTGTGGTCTTTGTGAAGTTTGAATGTTCTCCTCTGGCCTGGTCTGTGTGGGTTTTCTCCAGCTTCCTATTAACGTCCAAAATCATGTGGTAGGTTGACGTCAAGGCCACATCAGCACAAGAACACCACTTTGTGAATATTCAATGTTTTTTAATAGCATTTTAGCCTTAAGTTCACACAAAAAAGCCATATTAGGAGACCCCAAACAGTTCTGTTTTTTTTAAACCTAGGGGGAAACGGTTTTAAAACACCACTCTTTTTGTGTAGACAGCCAGAATGTAACCTTTTGAAAAGACTGATGTCGTAGTCCAACCACCTACCAAACCTATGACCCCCAAACATTACAGATGTAACAATTATGACTGATTACATGCTTGCATTTGTGCTGCAGATACTAGCTGCTCAACTATAATTAAACTCTTGCACATTGTTACATCAATAAGCAGACAAATCTACAGTAATAAACAAATGGGCATTTCCTTGAATACAGCAGTGCAAAAAAACATTACCTCAAATAATCTAAGAGCAAAAGGGGGTTTATCACTTAAAGAACTCAACAAAAGTTGCAAAATAATTTACAATATACATCAATTAAACATAAAAAACATGAGAAACGATAATAGTTTTAAAAGATATTTGTGTACTGATATGCTTCAAGTATTGCTGGACTGACACAACTCAAAGTCAAGAGTAGCTTAAAATGACTCGAAGTAGAAGTTGCACTTCATCAACAGTGCCAAAAAATATATTCAGTTTTTCTCTTTGTATTTGGCATCTATACATTTTTTTTTGTTTTTGTTTTTGAACACGTCGCGCCTTGTTTCCTGTTTATGGTGTATTTTTGTGGCAGCATTGCAGCATCATATACAGGCCCGTCATAATTATTGCAGCCTTTTTGAGTTGTTGTATTTATTTTGTGTGCATGAAAACATTTAAGAAATGGTACCATGTTTACAAAGATATATTTAGAAACAACAAATTAAAGGACTGCTTTGAAAAAACAGCTTTTCCAAATCAACAAGGCCCAAATTGACCTTTATTTTTGTTTTGCATATTTTGCCAGATGACAGCTGGGATTGGCTTCGATGCTCTTGCATTCCTGAACAGGATAAATCAGTAATGGAAAGTAAATTGGTAACTAGTCAATTCCAGTGAAATGGATGTCACAAAATATATTTGTCAAAGTTTTCAGTGTAAATACAATTGATTTAATATTGCAAAGCTGTTAAATGGCTACTTAAAGCCTAAAAAGCTAAAAGTCTCCAAACATTTACATATTCATGAGCAGAAGTCATAATTATAGTTTAGAAAAAAAAACTTTTTCTGTGACACTTTGTTAAATATGGGACACTAGTTTGCAAATTGAGCCATTTGCACATTTGATCTGCAAAGCCTGCAGCCTCACAGTGTCCAAAACTTTGATTTTAAAAGTTTCACAGGAGTTTGTGCAACTTTGCCACCTTTCTTTCTCTTGTTAGATTGCTGACAAAGAGCTGCCGCTTTGCTATGACACTTAACTTTTAGTTACACTTCACCTTTCAGTGTCGTTCTGCACACTGCTTTCCTCCACACTGCTGACAGCAGCACTGAAAAGGGAAACAGACTCACTATTTAGCAGTTCTTCAGTCAGAAGTGCAGAAGGGATTTTGTGGCTTTAAGAGCAATGAACTTAATTACAGAACATTGAAGCTAAAGTAAAACTAACATTTTCAGAGTATATGTATTTTAATGCAAGTGCACTCTACTACAAAATCACCACAATTATTCCAGAATAATGCATTCTTTTTAAATAAACCAATTCAAATAATGTTTTTTTTGTGCAGCCATTTGTGTATTGAGAAATGCACTAAAACACCTCTTAATGAAAGAGTCAAGAATAAATGAATTTATCAAATTTAATATTTATTGAGAAGCAGGGATATTCAATGTAGTTAGATTTGAGCTCTTTAACTTTTAAATGTCATGGCATACAGACTCTAATTTGAAGAATAAAAAGCTTGAATTCCTTAAAGGAATGCATATCACCTATCACTTTTAGTTTAAGAGTAATCATAATTGTTAGCTAGCAATATTTCAAAAATATTTTATCATCTTACATGACTTTTTTTTCATGCTTAGAGCATGTGTTGTGAATGACTCGCTTAGCGTCATACCAAACTTGAGCTTTAGATCTGCCCAATTCACTGAGGTATAGCCATTTTTTGTGGCCATCTTAAATTGGGATATTTTAAAAGTTGATCAGTTGTAAATCTAGTGCTTACTTTTTGAGATATTCATTAAAATATGTGACGTAATTCACAAATATGACAACCAATGCCATTGCTTTATTGCAGTGCTATGTGCTGCACTCAAGCTGTATGTTTCGAATGACTTTCGGCTACTACCACACCAAATTTTGGTTTGATAGCTGTAAAACTATTGGGGTCTTAGCCATTTTTGTGCTTGCTAAAGTGGCTTGACTGTGGCAGCCATCTTCAACTGAACAGACTTAATAAATTAAGTAGTTGATGATATCAATCCAATGATTATTTTCTGAAAGTTTCATTCAAATTCATCAACTGGTTGGTAATGGGGTACACCGATTGCAGTTTTCTGGCCGATCAGGGATCTCTAAAATTCCTGACCTGCCGATTCCAATTTTGGCCGATACGATTTTGTTTTATAAGCGACACTGTCAGGTGTTATAAAGTTACAATGAACCTTCAATTTTCCAATCTTATTTTATTGAAAATATCCTAGAAACAATACAAACTTGTTTTAGCTGACCATGAGGTAGTGCTCTGAAATATAAGTAAAGTTTAGACAACTGTTGTTAAAACTACAAAAAAAAAAAACTACAAAAAACTTTTAAAATTGGTTTCTCATGTAAGTATTGGCCGATATTCCAAAATTAAGGAAATCGGGGCCGATAAATCAGCCGTGTGATAAATCGGCCGTACGATAAATCGGACATCCAATTTATCGGTGCACCCCTAGTTTATACGATATTTTGCTAACTCGTTCTCGAAAACATTAGCACCCTTTGCCTTTGGCAGTGAATGATAAAAATCAAACTTGAATTTTTTCTGACACGTCTGGTGTGTCATTTTTGAGACATATATACACATACATATATATATACATACACATATACATATACATATATATATACATATACATACATATATATATATATACATATACATACATATATATATATATATACATATACATATATATATATACATATACATATACATATACATATACATATACATATATATACATATATATATACATATACATATACATATA